ATGTCACCATCACCACCATAGTCACCACCACCATGGGATGTCACCGTCACCACTGCACTCACCACCAACGTGGGATGTCACCGTCACCACCATGGTCACCACCAACGGGGGATATCAGCGTCGCCACCATGGTCACCACCAACAGTGGATGTCACCATCACCACTGTGTTCGCCACCAACATGGGCTGTCACTGTCACCACCGTGGCCACCACCGATGTGGGATGTCACCGTCACTGCTGTGGTCACCAGGGACATGGGATGTCACTGTCACCACCATAGCCACAACCATCACCACCACAGTCAGCACCAGCAGGGATGTCACCATCACCACCGTGCTCACCGATGATGTGGGATGTCACTGTCACCACTGTGCCCACAACCGGTGTGAGGTGTCCTTGACATTGCCACGGGGTGTCACTCACCATCGCCACCGTGGCCACCACCAATGTGGGATGTCGCTGTCACCACCGATGCGGGATGTCACCGTGGCCACCATGGCCATCAATGACGTGGGATGTCCTTGTCACCACCATGCCCACCACCAATGTGGGATGTCGCTGTCACCACCAATGTGGGATGTCACCGTCACCACTGTGGCCACCACCGACACGGGATGTCACAGTCACCACCGTGGCCACCACCGACACGAGATGGCCCTGTCTCCATCGTGGGACGTCCCCATTGCTAACGCGGGATGTCGCCGTCACCCATGTGACCTTCCTGTCACCAATGTCACCATCACCAGCACGGGATGTCCCCGTCATCACCCTGACAATCACTGACGTGGGATGTCCCTGCGGCCGCTGTGCCCGCCGCTGGCACGAGACGTCCCCGTCACCAACACGGGATCTGTCACCAACATGAGACGTCCCCGTCACCAACACGGGACGTCCCCGTCACCAACACGGGATGTCCCCGTCACCAACACAAGATCCGTCACCAACACGAGACGTCCCCGTCACCAACACGGGATCTGTCACCAACATGGGACATCCCTGTCACCGACACGGGATGTCCCCGTGACCAACACAAGATCCGTCACCAACACGAGACGTCCCCGTCACCAACATGGGACATC